CGCTCACTGACGTGCGTATGGCTAAAGGTCTGCGCTGATTGGCCTGATTTACTCAATAATTACTCCTTTATTATAAATAATAGAAAAAAATGATCCAGGACTTTTCGACTCAGTTTTACTTCTTCTACCTGCCTACGAGAGATTGTACGGCAATTCTGGGACACCCTGTATATCACCCTCAACAATGTACGTCAAATAAATCAAATACTGAATAAATAACTTCCTGTAACAACATTTGCAATAAGATTTTAATTTGTCTTGTTCCTCTCCGATATATTCAAAACTTTATATTATATATTTCTTACATATAATTTTAAATACACATTAAATAAAATGCAAAAAATATATAACAATGTAAGATACATTAAAAAAAAAAGTTACTGATTGCAGGATTCGAACCTGCATGCCTCGAGTTACAATGCAAGCACCTAACTCACTGAACTCGAAGCCGCTTGCAAATAGACTTAACGAAACGACTTTTCCGGTGCACCTAAGAAAGCCGTGTTTTTTCAAAATTAAAAACTTGAAAACTAAGGCNCATTGGAACAAACGGCCGAACACGGAACAACTTTTTTGACATATAGAACCACCAAAAAATTGGCATCTAATTTCACGATAACCACTTCTGGTGCTCCCCTTGTAAGAAAGCTACGGAAATATCGAGGAGTCTTAAGCTTGCATTAAGATGGTACTAGATACCGACTATAGAGACCTATAAACCGACGTTTTTATAACCTAAATTTCTTTATTTTCTAATTTTATTTATTGCACATTAAAAGCGCTTCTACAGAAGCAAATAAATATACAAAACTATATAAAGCTTTTAAAAATAAGAATATAATGCTTTTTTGAACTCTTTTTTCATTCATAATGATAGTAAATGGTATCAGATATACATCATCACACTATGACGTTGTTCTCATCAATTAGATAGTCAAACCATAATCTGAATGTCTCATTAGATTTTTTTGTCCTACTTATGGCGCTTGTAAATATGTACATAAGCTTACAAATAATTCTACATACATGAATATATAGTGAGGTTATAGAAAGAAACTGTATAAGAAAAATTTATGCTAAATTTTGACATTCCAAAGAACAAGCGCCAATTCTTAGCACAATTTCCTTATTTCTGTAGAAGCATTTTAGATTTAATGCAGTAAATACGATACAGAAACGTCATAGGAGAGAGTCGATTTGCAGGTCTCTATAGTCGGTATCCAGTTCCCTCTTAAGTACTTTATGCTTTATTTATCTTATTGTAGTAATATATAAGTATGCAAAACCTTTTTTGTTGTGTAAAATATTAAAAATTATTATTTAGTACAATTACTCACATGATGAGAAATAAAACAAGATAATGGTCCTATTTCTGCAAACATTCCGACCTATAAAAATATATAAAACTAAATATTAAATTATTCTTTTATATAGTACAATTTTATACAATTAAATTAAATTATTAAATTTTTAATATATTATTTATATTATATAAAAGAGCATATATTATTTATATTATATAAAAGAGCATTTTTTAATTTTACCTTGTTTACTTGCGTAACAATTGCATCTAATACTTCACCTTTAAAAGGACGAAATACAATGGCCTTATACTTTACTGGATATACTACAAAACCTTGTCCTGGTTGTATAATACCAGCTCCTATATTGTCTATTGTTGTAACTGCGACGACAAAGCCATATCTACAAATACATTTACAATTCAAATTCCTAACATTAATGCATAAAAGCTCATGGTCAATATTCACATAAGGTCAGCTTCTTTAAAAAGTCAACGACCTTAACATAGTGTCAAATGGACGCTCAAATATGTCTTTTAAAAATTTATTTTAATTTAGTATTCGTATTCTTTGTGTATATACAATAAGAACAGGCACCAAGTACACCCACAACACGTATTGTATTTAAAGTAATAAATTAAAAATTGATTTAATACTATAAAAAATGCTTCTTTTATAAAACCTGTTATACAAAATTATATACTCTACAAAACATTCCTTTTTACTACAGAAACTGTTTTTTCTCGAAATACTTACATTCTTTCTCTAAAAACCTGTTTTACAAAAAAAGTGATATCAAAATGTAGCACCAAGTAAACTTTTGTACGTTGTTATATTGAAAACCAATATACAAAAAAAACAATATTAAATAGATATATAACTACTACAAATTTATCTACAAAATCTATTCTACACACGAAAAACGTAATATATATAATAATAATAATAATAATAAAGTAATAACGTTAATTGAAAAACTTTATATATAATTATAAGATATTTGTGTAAAAATTAGAAAATTATGTAGATCACGTTTTATATAAAAAAGTACTCGGTGTTATAGATAAAAAACGATTTGTTAGTAAGACTAACAAGTAAACACCTATCAAAACTGTATTTTCTGTGATTATTTACAAAAACATTTACTAGAACACAGAAGTGTAACAAAAAAAAGGTTTTTAATAAAAAATATTTAATGCAAACAACTTGGCGCGGCTGCACCTCAAATAGTAAATTAAAATGTGTTTATCAGACACGTGCATAAGTCTGACATGATAAGTACCCTAAAAGTATTATCACTAACAATTTTAATTTAAAAATAAATTCTATTTAAAATAACTCGGCTGTCGGCCTTCATTTGCAGCCGCACCAAGTTGTTTTGTATTAAATATTTTTTATTAAAAATCCTTATTTTTGTTACACTTCTGTGATCTAGTAAATGTTTTTGTAAATAATCACGGAAAATACAGTTTTGATGAGTGTTTACTTGTTAGTTTCAATAACAAATTGTTTTGTTATCTATCTTAATATATATATTTCTTGTGTGCGTGTGTATGTCACTGAACTCTTCCTAAACGACTGGACCGATTTTGATGAAATTTTTTGTGTGTGTTCAAGGGGATTTGAGAATGGTTTAGATTCACAATTTGGTCCACTGGAAAATGTTTTTTTAATTAATGA